TTTGGATTTTTACAAGAACCACTGAGATAAAGAGTCAGTAAGTTATCCAGGTTTACCTTGAGGTTTCCTCTGTCCAGAGCAGCAGTGAGATGCTTCCTGATCTCCACCAGTTTTGGCTGAGGACCTCTGGGACTGGAGCCCTGTTTGATGGGATTCTCCTTCAAGTACATCTGGAGTTTGCATTCCCCCAGCAGAAGTTCACCTAAGTCGTCTACACACAAACGCACATTTATTTTAAGTAGGGCAGCACAATATATCAGCATCAATATTGGTATCGGCAGATGTTAGTCAGTCATCGGTATCGGTCCGATAAATAAAACTGGGCCGATATTAACAACCGATATTTTTTCCACCTTGTTTCCATCTGTTTATCAGTTTTAGAGTGTGTGTTTGTGTGTGTGTGTGTGTATTCGTTTAGTCATGTGACAGTGATTGCAATCATCTCAGAAGCGTAAATGTGTGTAATGTGTGTACATAATACCGTAAATTCTGCTTTAATAGTTTTCATTCTATACAAAATCTGATGATTTTAGAAGCATTAATGTCAGTATATCGGTGTAGGAGCCATATGTGTCATTTCTTTTTGCGCACTTGAGAGGAGGCTTTGCCTCATGTTATTGGTTAATTGCTTGTGGAAGCACCAGCAAATACCATCGGCAAATATCAGTTATCAGCCATAATATATCGGTATCGGCCCAAAAATTTCATATCGGTGCATCACTAATTTTAAGAGAAATTGCTAATAGTGCCTGTTGGAAAATCAGAAATTCAGCGTGTGAATCTATTAACAGCGAAACACTTCTTTTCTAACAAACATACCAAACAGAAATAGGGACAAATTATCCAACTATGCAAGAGTGTGTTTAAAGCTTGATCCATAATCCCACTGCTGGCTCAACTCAAAGCTTCCAAAGGTTGAATTTCACAATTTTTACAGTTGAAAAAACTAATTTACATTTAAAAAGTGCCATTTCTTACAAATAGATGGACAGATGTGAAACACACACACACACATAAATGGATTTTGGAGATTATTTCTGCAGATCCAGAAGAAACATGTTTGGTTAAAATTGAATCTGTGAAAACGGATTATTTCAAAATACAATTCCTAAAAACTAATTTTATTTTACTTTGCTACTTCTATCCAGTCTCCAGCCACAGACAGCGCTAATTTATTTGGCAATTAAGTCAAAAATCATTCTCTCAGCAGCTTTACTTTAGCTCACATGACGAATCAATAAAGATTACATTTAGCAATAATCCCATTTGAAATCTGTTTTTCTTGCTACTGGATTAACAATCAGCGTTTAAAACAACTTCATTTTATTTCGTGATTAAATAAACAAAATTTAAGACACAGGCTGCACCATTCATTTCATCTGTTAGCTTGTAGCTATTTAGTGCAAAGCCTAAAATTTTGTTTTCGGCTAAATAATTCGCGTGCTAGAACCGATTTTAAAGCAAGTGAATAAAAAACGTACAGATCTGGAAAAATCGGCTCTGATTAAAACTCATTAAATGTCAATTAACCCATAAAATGTGAGTATATGTGTGCTGCATCTACTAGCATCCAAAAATCAATTAAATTTGTGATTGAAGAATTAGTTCATTGAATTGAATACAAGTTATTTGTTTTATTTGACTGCAGATGAGCTTACTGGATGAAATCTTAATATAATTGTAAAATGTTAATGGTTGTCACACAAGTAAATCAGTGTATGAGATATGAAAGAGGTGACACAGACCAGGTCACGTCAACAAATGTGAAGATAAGTCACCCAAAAGATGCGACGCGGGTTGATTTTAAGTGAAACACGGAGCTGAAACTATCATCTTTCAATGCAGTTGTCAGGAAGTCCGGAAGACCCAGGCCGGGGAAAGGGCCTCCCAAACCGCATCAAAAAACCAGCTCCCTACCATTTGATATCAGCTTCGCCGACAGCTGCCGAACCAGCTCCGGTATCTTGTCCCACTGACTCTCGGAGCGACACCGCTCTATCTCGGTCTCCAGTCGTGATCCAGACTTCCTCGCGGTCATTTTCGTGACTGGGGTCGGCTGGACTGGACCAAAACACCACAGAGGTTCCCTCCGGCAAGAACAACCGTCACGTTTACGTGCACGACAGAAACTTCCGGCGTGTACTTTTGAAATAAATCATATGTCTAGGCTTGTGTGATTTATACAAGCTCGTAGGACTTATACAAACCACGTTTATGCCTTCTGGAATATAAAACCAAGTTTAGTCAATTACTTCACTCATAAATTGTTCGTGTTCGTGGAATCAGTAACTTCAAAATCATTATTGTGAAAATTACAAACCGGAAGAGGTACAAATGGTTACAACAGAAAGCGAATAACTCAGGTGGCAGAGTTTTCGTTGTATGCGACTAATGACAACGGTTCATTGGGATCAACAATGGAAATCGAAAAGGTTGGTGAATACTTAACCAATGTTTGCTTTCTTCCTAAATTTTAACCATAAAATAAGGACTTTTCCAGTTTGTTTACATTTACTTCCTTAGCTTTGGAGCTAAAGTTAAACTCCTCGTAGCTAAAAGAAACAACTGGAGATTTGTTTTCTCTTGTAAATTTAACTCAATTCTCTCCTGTTTCGGTCACACCAAACAGTAAGTCTTCAGCAGCGTTGGGTTTGATCATCTGTTTGTGCTAAACCAGAGTAACGGTGGGCCGAGCCGCTTTGAGACCGTGGAGATTGAGTCCAGTCATCCGAGGGTGAAGCTTCCCCGCAGGACCATTCACTTTGCCAACGGAGACACCATGGAGGAATTTAGCACCGATGAAGAGGAGGAAGAGGAGGCACGTGTGAAGAAAGATGTCATTACAGTCGATCCGGTATGCTGAGATCAAACAGAGGTCGTGTGAACACTAGAAGTCTGCTTATTCAATTTTACAGTTATACGGTTCTGTGCAAAAGTCATGATTCATCCTAGCCTGGTGAACTAGACCAAATTTTTGCTTTGCAAAGTTTGTAAATAATATATTTATTTAGTCTGGCTTGCCTGGCTAGATTCATCCACTATTTCCGTATTTTTTACCCCCAACGAGCCCCAACCCCTTTAATTATTTTCATCTCTCTGGATCTTTTCATTTTTAAACTTGTTTGAACTCAGTTAAGTTAAACTTTCAGGCCTTAAAGTCTTCATAATTTAAAGAGCAAGTCACCCCCAAAATCAACTATTTTTTTCTGATAAACTATATAAGTGTGTGTAATCGTGCTGCAGACACGTGTAGTCAATAGTTTGGCACTTTAGTGCATTTTAGTTAAAAATTTTATTTTCTGCCTAAAACTGTCAGTGTTGTGCCGTTGTCAGGTAAAAATTCTGCACTGCATTTGAATTTAAATCTGCCATCGCTATTGGCTAAGAGGTACCCTAGAATGTTAGCTGGTACCATATGATGTCACAATGTTGTTGTGAGCCTGTGTGTGTGTGTGTGTTTGTTAGTGGCTCCGCCCTCTCGGTCTGCTAGGCAACAGCATTTGTTGCATTTTTCAAACAGGAAGTGGGAGTTGAGTAAGAATTTGGTATGGGGTGATTTGCTCTTTAAAGAGCAAGTCACCCCCAAATCAACTTTTTTTACTGATAAACTATATAAATGTGTGTCTAATTGTGCTGCAGACACGTGTAGTCAATAATTTGGTACTTCAGTGCATCTTAGTTAAAATTGAAATATTCTGCCTAAAACTGTCAGTGTTGCGCCGTCGTCAGGTAAAAACTCTGCACTGCATTTGAATTTAAATCTGCCACCGCTATTGGCTAAGAGGTATGCTATGATGTAAACTGGTACATTATGATGTCACAGTGCTGTTGTGAGCCTGTGTGTATATTTGTTAGAGGCTCCGCCCTCTCGGTCTGCTAGGCAACAGCATTTTTTGCATTTTTCAAACATGAAGAGGGAGTGAAGTAAGTTTCTTGTAGGGGGTGACTTGCTCTTTAAGGAATGAACCATCGTTGTTGTGGAACACAACTTTCGGAGTTGCAAATAAGCAGCTTTTAAGTTAAAGTTTGCAAAAATGAGATGATGCCACTTTTTACGAGTAGACCAAATAAAGCAAAGGTGAAACGCTGAAAATAATGTGTAGAGCGCAGTTCAAACAACAGAAAGTAAACAAAATCCTGTGTGTCTCCAGTCCAAACTGACCTGGGGTCCTTACTTCTGGTTCTACATGTGGAGAATGGCCACCTCCACTGTCTCAGGTAGTTACCGCCCCTCAAGGATTTTTGTTACATACCTGATCCTTGTGGAAATGGATCAAATCATATCACACTTTGTTTTAAGTGTGTGTGTATGTGTGTGTCCTGCAGTGTGTGACTACATGGGAGAGAGACTGGCCTCTCTGTTTGGCGTCACCACTCCTAAGTACCAGTATGCTATTGATGAGTACTACCGCATTAAGAAAGAGGTATCACCCTGGCAGATGCATATTTTACAGCTAAGGAAAAACACTTGCTAGCAAAACTGTAAAATGCTAAAAACGCTGGTATCTACCTGCAGGAGGAGGAGGAAGAGGAGGAGAACCGTCTCGCTGAAGAGGCTGATCGTGCATTTGCAATCCAGCGACGAGGCGAGCAGGAAAATTCAGCAGCTGCGGTGAAGGAGCAGCCCGAGTCTTCCGGCGCATCCTTCGTTAACGTTAGCTTCGAGGTTGAGCCTGAGCCTTCAGTCGGGAGTCAAGACCCCAACAGAGTCCCGTCTCCCCTCCCCTCCTGAAAGCCGACACACATTTAAACTTTAACGTACTCAGCTGCATAAACTAAAAATAGTTTTGTGTTTTATCTTTATAAAGGGATTATTTTATCATAACACAGTGAGAAGAATGAAAAAGGTGGGAGGAAGCGTTTGTGTTGTGAAAATAATGTGTGTGCAGCGTGTGATCCATGTTGAACTTAGAATTTCACTATCTGTGACATTCTGGCTGTCATTTGCTTTAAGCTGACATCACGTTTGATGATTTAAACACTGGATTTACTTATGAATAAGTTTAAACAGGTGAGGCGATCTGCTCCTGACTGGAAGAGTTTTAGCTTTAAACCGAAGCCATCGCCGCCTGGATGTTGGAAACGGGATCTTTGAGTTTATGGTTTTCAGGATGAGGAACTTGTGGAACCAGTCTGAACAATACTTGGTCAGTTTGGTGACTCAGTCCACGCCTTTGGGCTCTTCCTGTTTCTGAGTAAGCGAGTGTCGTGTTTAGGTGTTTGCCTTGTGCCAAAGTATCCAGAGGAATGTCAGAACCCAGATTTTTCCCAGCAAAATATTCCAGCATGATGATATTTCATCTTCTCTGAACGTAGAAACGCACAAAAGCTTTAAGAGCAAGTCACCCCATACCAGATTCTTACTCCACTCCCACTTCCTGTTTGAAAAATGCAACAAATGCTGTTGCCTAGCAGGCCGAGGGGGCGGAGCCACTAACAAATACACACACACACGCTCACAACATTGTGACATCTTATGGTACCAGCTAACGTTCTAGGGTACCTCTTAGCCAATAGCGATGGCAGATATAAATTCAAATGCAGTGCAGAGTTTTTATCTGACGACGGCACAACACTGACAGTTTTAGGCAGAAAATTACAATTTTAACTAAAATGCATTTAAGTGCAAAACTATTGACTACACGTGTCTGCAGCACGATTAGACACACATTTATGTAGTTTATCAGAAGAAAAATGTTGATTTGGGGGTGACTTGCTCTTCAGAGAAGTTGTGAAGACTCCTTGAAGGAGCTGATTGAATGTTTACTCCGATGAATCTGGAGAAAATATATAGTAGATGATAAACGTGTCTCAATTTAAAGAGAAAGTCACTCCAGATCAACAGTTTTTTCCTGATAAACTAAATAAACGAGTGTCTGATCGTGCTGCAGACACGTGTAGTCAATAATTCGGCACTTTAGTGCATCTTAGTTAAAATTTAAACATTCTGCCTAAAACTGTCAGTGTTGCACTGTCGTCAGGTAAAAACTGCACTACATTTGAATTTAAGTCTGGCGTCGCTATTGGCTAAGAGGTACCCTATGGTGTTAGATGGTACAATATGATGTCACAATGTCGTGAGCGTGTGTATTTGTTAGCGGCTCTGCCCTCTCGGTCTGCTAGGCAACGGCATTTTTTGCATTTTTCAAACAGGAAGTGGGAGTGGAGTTACTCTGGTAGGGGTTGACTTGCTCTTTAAAAGTAAAAAACAAACTGTAAATACCGGTAGCACAAAAAAGGTCCAGTTCAGGTTTGAATCAGATTCCAAACTGCTGACTTCATCAGCTGTAAATAAACAGTCCAATAAATAAAAATAAAGCCTCTGCATAGCGACAACTAAATGTTACAGAAGAGCTCATTGTCAGAAAACCTAACATAAGCAACAAGTTTAACCATTTAAAAATCTGGTCAGTCTTTTTAAATGTATTTATCTTCATTTTTAATAAATTTTTAAATATTCAAAAGGGTTTCTGTTCTTATATCCCAGTATAATGCTGTGAAGTATTTCAGTGTCATGTTACTAAATGAACTCCATCTTAGATTTTATGTACAGTTTATTTTTTATAACTTCATCGTCTGGAAAAATAGTTAAAATTCATAAACAAGTTTTTCAAATAAAAACAATCAACAGAAAGTGATGTAACGGTTGTTAGGATAAGTGTTTGATAATAAATCCCAGTTTAAGGGTCAATATCAGAAAAGACAAAACCATTTTTATCATTTCTCTCGAATTCTGCAGAAATGAGTCTCCTAACATCTCCTGCTCAGATCTCTTCAAGTGTCATCGAGCTCAGCTGTGTTGCCGTCGTTGTCGTTGGCAACCAGCACCTCTCTGTTCTCATAGGTCCAGAAGCCGTTAAGGTCAATCAGGATGCTGACCACCGTGTCGCCCTGGCAACAGTTAACCAAGTCCGGGAGAGTGATCCTATAGGGGTCTTTGGGCTTCACCATGTCGAAGATCTCATCCTGAAGACAGACGGAGGTGAAAACATTCATCAGCCTCAGAATTTAATCATCTAAAGATGTGTAGCAGCAGCAAAGCGTGCCTGCGGTTCTACCTTCACATCCTGGAAGGAGACGGGCTCCTGACCGTGCACCTTCATCTGCTCCTGAATGGCCTGCAGAAAAAATAACACTGATTATCTAGAAATTATGACATAAATGTGTTTCTTTACATTTGACAATAAAGTTTTGAATCTTGAGTCTTGATTAAACAAATATTTTAGTATTTTTACCCTGAAGAAGTAGTTGAGGGTGAAAACGTTGACGTAACCTTGATTCTCCATGTCCAGAAGCTTAAATAAATACTGCAACGCCGCCGGCTCCTTCCTGTTTTCCAGAGCCAACACAAAGTCCAGGTAGGTCTTATAGTCCTGGAATAAACACGGAGGAAATGGAGGTGAATATTCTACAGGTATGAGTTTACCTTCACCCCAAAAACTGGAGCATCAGCGGATGTTTGGGAAATAAGGAAAACGGTCGTACCATTTCCCCATCGTAGGTGAGGCATTCCTGAAACACGCGGTCCAGAAAGACGGAGGTGAGCGTCGCCGTGCCGTAACGAGACAGCTCTTCTTTGCTCAACATCCCGTTGTGATCTTTGTCCAGGTTGAGGTACTGACCTGTTGGAATAAGGTGATAATGCTCTAGACCAGTGAGACAGAAAGTGTGGGAGTAGAACACTCGTGCATTTACCCACCGTAGACTCTGAGAGCCGACGGGGCCGAGAACCAGTTTGACTCTTGGCTTTCTTTAGACAACTCCTCATCTCTCAACTGGAAACCGGAGAAAAATAAAGAATATTAGACACATTTGTAGGACTTAAACTCAAACTTTATTTATTTATATAGCACTTAAGCACTTTGAGTTGCATGCATTGTAGGATTAACAAATTAAAAAGGCCCCGCATACCCACATTCCCTCCCATCCCAAGAATTTTAAAAACAGTCTGACAATAAAAACCCCTTCACAACATTCATCCTCCGGCACGCACGCGCACACACACACACACAAATGGAAAAAAACACAATGGACTGAGTTCAGATGAGCCAGACCTGCTAAGATAAGGAAACACCATCAGGGGAGCCATCCGCCCCGACAGCAGCAGATCCACAGCAGCAGCCGAGGCACCGACACAGGGCGCCCAGGGCAGGGAGGGCGGAGACCCCCACCTCCACCCAGGCACACCTGGAAAGCACCCAGGCCGCCACAGCCGACCACTGCCCCCGGGGCAGAGGGCTCCCACAGAGGACAAAAACAAACTAAATTTATGTTACAATAGGAAGTAATTTGCTGCAAATAAACGTTTTAGTTAAGATGAGCCAATTCTGGTTCATCTTCAGATCTGACCTGATGAAACGGACTCAATTTCAATTTATTTATTTATAAAGCACCTTCTACTACCTAGGTGGAGGCTCAAGGTGCTGAACAGGACGTAAAAACCAGAATATAAATAAACCGAAAATTATGATTGTTACGTTCCCCACTATTGTGTGGCCGTAAATGTGCTGTTTTTCTTTTTTATTATTGTGTTTGGTTAAAATGGCGCATTTAAGTACAAACCAGATAAGGACACACAAGTTGACGGACAGACAACATGACTACAAGACATCACTGGAGGGTGGCGTCCCCGTTGCTGTGGAGACGTGCCGCGATTCCCTCGCTGCGGACGTTCTCTCCGATGACGTCACTGGGAGGTCCCCGCTCCGGAATTGCTGCAGCCACACCTGCAGCTCATCTTTGTTCCCGTGAAAGGATAAAAGGAACGTTGGATACACGCCCGAGGAGCTACTCCTAACCCATGAGTAGTCTCCATTTCTGCTCCGTTCTGGACAATACGGTTGTGATTACGTGCGCGTGGTTAGAGGAAAGCCTCTGCATGGTATTCTACTAAAGCCTGAGTCAGTGGTTCCTAGCCTCTAGTGCCAATCGCTTCATACTGGTATCTTTGCCTAGACAGAAATCTAATAATTCTCTATTCTTTAAAAGGCTCATTTTGTTTGGCTTCAGAGAGCCTTTTTGCTTATAGAAGCTCTTAGAAACCCGTACCAGCTTGAGTAAATATATCAACGTTTTAATTAAATAAGGAAAATATTTTTATACCCAGGTTTCTTTCTCATCTGTTATCTTTTCTCTGTCCTCTTAGCTTCTTAAAGTAAGGAGGAAAGCATAGCAAGTTAAAAGCTAACATGATTCTGGAAACAAAAACGTCTACACGGAAGACGGGTTAGTGATTCAGCCCTTAGTGTCTAATGAGTAATCTGACTTTTCACAGGTTAAGCCAATCAGGCTGCATTTTGTCTGATTCTGATTGTCGGATTACTTTTTTTTTTTGAGTAGTCTCCAAAAAAAACATTGAAACAACAAAACTGGTGTCTGATCATTACAGAACACTCGAACGAGTGAAGAACTTCCTACCTCCAGCAAGTCATCCAGGAAACTGCAGGCCAAGATATCTTGAATTTTAATCTTTCCTGTTAACACACGTTTCTTTACATTAGAGAGACACAAATGTTCGCTACGTCTGCACATCGTTTACATCAAAGAATACGCAAACTGAGCTTTGTCGACGAGGGTGCACGGACTAACGAATCATCTGAACTCACCGGTCCGAAGCGGATCGAGGAAGAAAAAAAACTTGCGAACAGCCGTGCAGACGTAGAAAGAATAAAACGATTTCTCCAGTCCGTCCAGCTGAGGTAGAGTCGGGATCAGCTCTAGGATGTAGTTCTCTAGATCCTATAGGGATGAGAAACATCACACAACCAATTAGATCAATAAATTAGATTTATGTGTGAAGTGAAACGGGTGTTTGACTCTTACTGATTCTCTCAGGTATCCTTGTCCCGCTACATCATACAGACTCAGGCCAATTCGGGTCTGATGCAACCAAACTAAACCAGAACAGAAATGATCCCATACTTATGAGAGCCCCATGCAAGCCACCGGAGCTGACTAAAGCAAACATTAAAATAAATAACACGTGCCGCAGAAACCTTTAATCTAACAGAACAAACAAATAACCTTTGCAGTTTGTTTCATTAAAAAGTCAAAAAAGAAAAGAAAAGAAAGACTTTTTTCAAACCTTTCCTCATAACGTAGTTAAAGAACTGCATGATGGATATTCGGCCGTACGGGTCACTGTGCAGCAGTTTGCCGTAAACTCTGGCTGTGAAAAACTTTCTGTAAGACAAACAGATGTACGATATATTAGCTGTCTGAAATAAAGGGAAATTAATTAATGCGTTAAAAGAATTAAAGGTTTGCAGTTTCCAGAAACTAGGATGCTCTTAAGCAACTTTTAATGCAGTTATACTTTAGTGTCTTCCTACTTAAATCTAAAGTTTTCAGGCACTTAAGCATCAAACTCTTGGGTGCAAATGAGAGCAGCTCTCTGTGCAGAACCCTGTTCTACGAGGAAGAACCAACTCCTAGTTACTCACCTGCACTTTTCTCCTGCCTTCTCCCCCACCTGCAGGTAAGCTTCGTAGTTGATCATGGCTTCATCTCCATTCACTGGAGGCACCTGGTGTTTGTCTAGCAGGAACCACAGATTCTACAAAAACACAACACAATCCATCTGTGACCATTTTTTTCCTGTTAGAGACTGTGGGAAAGGAGTTAAGTGCTTGCCCCATAATCGGAAGGTTGCAGGTTCGAGCCCTGTTCACTCTGCTGCTGCAGTGTCCTTGGGCAAGACACTTAACCCACCTTGCCGGTTGGGGGTGGTTGGAGGGACCGGTGGGGCCTGTGTGTGGCAGAATCACCTCTGTCACTGTGCGCCAGGGCAGCTGTGGCTACAATGTAGCTCATCACCACCAGGGTGTGAATGTGAATTACTGATTGTGTTGTAAAACACCTTGGAGGGTTCCAGGCCTCTAGAAGGCCATAACAAATACAGGCCATTTACGATCTGCTGAATAGTTCTGTTTTTACCTGGAGCTCTTCATTATCTAACAGTTCTCTGCTCTTCCTCTGGAGGAAAACGGCTCTGGATTCTTCTCTGAGCTTCTGAAGGAGCAATTCATCCTCTGCTGGAAGCTGCAAAACATCATCATCACACAGATGTTTTCACAACATCTGGATCGTTTCAAATCAACTCACCAGGACCTGCTTCCATAGCTTAAACTCTTAAAACACAGCTTGCAAGATTATCTTGTACGTCTAAAGCAAACTATGAAGAAACTACAAACTGTTTACATGTATTGTACCATTCAGCATTTGAATAAACAACTACCTTATAATAAAACCGTGGTATGGTTTTATACGATTTGTCATTATCGACACCTCCTCTCCATTCTGTGTAATATTTGGTGAACATTTCAGTTTCTTCCTCTTTCTTTTCATCTTCACTCCTCTCGTCTTCTCAAAGAAGAAAAGAACGGACAGAAAATCACTCAACAAAACCAAAACATGACAAGCCTACGTTAGCTCATCAAAACAACACAGTTTCTGACCCTTTTTATAGTTGGCGAGTCTTCTCTTGAGAATATCCGCCCAGTTGGAGTCCTCCTCTTTAGACATACCGGCTGAGAAAACAACTTAACATCAACTTTATAATGTTTTTCGTCAAAACAGCTAGTTCACGAAAGAAGCTAGGAAGATTCAACGTCAAAGTGAAATAGAGCTACTTCCGGTTAATTGCCATGTTTTCAAAATAAAAAACAAGACGTGAAATTTATGTATAACATCTAAACGTTTGAATGACAAAAATATATTATTTTTTTGTCCAGATAGATTATATGCTGATGCAGCCTCAACAACACAAAATGTTTTCATTTGCTTTGTAGCTTTATTTTGAAACACTAAATGTTGATTGTGTCACTTTTTCAGAAAACGAGAAATCGGGGCTTCTTTCTTTCTCCAAATGTAAAAACTGAACGCAAACCCCTAAACAAACGTTACTTTTTATGTTAAAACATTATTGTTCTACTTAATTATACCACAGAATCAGAATACTTCTCAATCGAAAAATGACATTTTTCTTCTTTCTTTCAAAATGTGTAAATTTAAATATTTTGTTGTTTTTGTTGCAGCAGTTGTAAGTGGGCGTTTTACATAAAATTTTACAAAAATTAATCATTCCTTTTTCACATTTCGTGCTTCAAACGCTAACTAATTGTAAAATAGAATGGCGTTTTAGCGGTGTATTCTGTAAATTCTGTGTAAATCTGAGGTACCAAAATGCAGCATCGGAACTAGTCTCGTGTTGATGACGACAGTAATGTGCGACCTGGGAGGCATGCTTTATCCAAGCGCAAACACTGTAAATGAGCTGATTTAATGGTTCTTTTTACGTACTTAAATAATCGTAAGTTATATTTATGTCTATATAATTATAAATCCAGCAGAACCATAAAGATATATTTCAGTTTTAAGTAACTTGATATTTCTACTCATCAGTGTTTTTCAATTTACATTCCAAACAAAACGTACATTTTTTTTATGAATCATTCATTTGGTAAAACTTGTTTATGCATTTATATCTCGGGTTGAAGTAAAAACCAATATATTTTACCAGAAAATCCTCTGCCGGGTAGCTGTTAAACACTATAAAATGGGCTCTAATTTAATATTAAAAGTCAGATTATGTTTAAACTCGCCTTTGCTGCCTTCCTCCGCACGCTTTCTTTGCACACAATACATTAAATCAAACCTGGGTGGCGGACAGATGGACAGAAGAAACAGTGGACAGGGTGATGGACAATCTAGAATGAAAAAAATAACTTATAAACAGGATTCAGAGGATGGAAGAAGTAAGAAATACACCTTGAGGCAGCTGCCTTCTTTTCCTAAATCTGTTTTTGCTGCTGGGACTGCAAAGAAGATAGCTAGGATTCAGCAGAAGAAAGCATCGTTAGTCTCTGAAGATGAAGAAGAGCCTCAACGCAGAACAAACAGAGGAGCAGGTAATACTTTTATACCCAGATATTTGTATAGTTACACTACTGAGAGTCTTCTACCTGCAACAGTAACTTTGAGATCTTAATCCCTGTTTACAGATTTAAAAAAGCAACAACATAGTTTATGGAGGAATTTTATTGTTTGCATTTGCTGCTCTGAAATAGACGTGTTTGACAGGAAAGCTGCAGCCTCCTGAAAGGCCCCTTCCTCCTGATGAGTGGAGGAAGATGAAGGAATCTCTCGGGAATCCAAATAGCTTTGACTGCCAGATGATGACTTCTTTAGTTACCGCTGGGTCAGATCTAGACATTGCAAAGTAAGACAAACACAAATGTGTCTGACCATTTAGTGATATATTAATATAGTGATAACAGAAATATTAAAGGATGATGGTTAAACATAGAAACATACATCTAAATAGATGAGTCTGTAGACAAAGAATGTCCATGATTTAAACACATGCCTTTTTGTCTCAGGTCCCTGTTGACATTTGTTGCCATGGAAACCGGTACGTTGTCCTACGAGCTGCTGCTACGCTACCTGACGCTGTGTGTGATCGGAGGCCACGATGATGAGGTGTTTGATGTCTACAAAATCATGCGTGGAAGTTTCCCCTCCATGGACACGGGAGCTTCCACCCTTTTCATTAAATCGTTCAGCCGTACGGAGCGCTGGAAGGAAGCAGTCGGAATCCTGCAGGAGGTCAAGAAGGTAAAATGACTTCCAAATTAAACAAAATTTCATCATGTAGAGGCAAAGCTGATGTTTCAATCCTCGTTTACTTTTTCAAAAGGTTTTCACTCCATCGCAACGAAACTATCACGATGTCATCGCAGCAGCAGTCCAGCATGGGGACACGGCCACTGCCTGGTCTCTGTATGATGAACTAATCACAAATGGAAAGATTCCACACCAGGATACCTGGGACGCTCTGTTCACTTGTGTGAAGAAGACTAAAGAGGAGGAGGAGGAGCCTGAACATCAGGAGAAGCTGCTGAGAATTCTGCTGTACATGAGAAACAACCAGATCTACCCTCAGGAAAGTGTCGCCGTCAAGATCCGGACTTGGTTTGAGAGGTTAGGAGATTTAAAGAAGAAAATAGATATTCATGTTTACAATCACATGTTGGAATGTATGCTTTTACCACACAACCTGGATCATTAAACCACTTTGCTGCTCATTTCTTCCAACTTCAGCCTCAAAGGGCCGAAATGGACAGGAGGCTGGAGCAGCATCACCCCAAAGTAACGATACTTCTTATTAGTTTTTAGAGAGTTTGAAAGCAATTTGTGTTATTTACACGTGTGTGTGTGTGTGTGTGTGTGTGTGTGTGTGTGTGTGTGTGTGTGTGTGTTTAGGGGTGTGTGTAGGTGTTGTGGGTCAGAACTGGAGTCTATCCAGCTGAGTGCTGAGGAGTATCAGGAACTGAAAGACAAAGTGATGACCGATGTCATTCAGGGTCGAGACGTGTTTAATAAGACCACTCCAGAGGTACGCACACACACACACACACACACACACGCACGCATGCATGCACATGCACACAAGAGTGACCTTAGAATGGTTTCTAGTGATCCAGATCATTACATCACCATCAGATCGATAAACATTAAAGTTGTTTAAGTGGAGAAGTTAAATTAACTCCTCACATGTTAGATTTTGTGCAAAGTCTCTTTAAAAAAAACATTCCTGTTTGGAAATGAGAAACACGAACCTTGAACGTGGAAGCAGTTTCATGTGAAGCTTCTACTAGGTGACATCGTGTTACACGTTAAAACTGACTTCGAGTCTGACCTGAGGGTAACTAACTCATCTCAGAGTTACTTTTTAATCTGGTGTAATTATTTTAGGGATAGTTGGATATTTTAAAAGAACTAATGATGATTCAGTTCTTTATTTTTAATCATTTTTAAGCCTTAATGTTCTGTTTATATTTAGTCTGTTTAAGGAATAAGACTTTATCTAACCGGCTCAAACAGGATTTAGTTTATCAGTCTTAAATAATACGAACAAAGCAGCAGAAATATAGAAACAGATATGTGAAATTCTGAAAATGTGGCCTTTTTAAAGGTTTTGAAAGTGCTTGAATTTTTAGGAAAGTTTTTGAAGTCACTTTTTGTTTGTTTTTATTAGATAAAGAAGTGAAATAGTGGTTTTGAACACCATGTGGGTATATGAAATGCTGGAAAAACCTAAAAAATCTGCATTAAAAGTTTTTGAGTTTGATCCTGTCAAGTGGAGAAGTTTAAGTATCTCGGGGTCTTGTTCACGAGTGAGGGTAGGAGGGATCGGGAGATCGACAGGCGGATCGGCTCAGCGTCTGCAGCGATGCGGACGCTGAGCCGATCTGTCGTGGTGAAGAGGGAGCTGATCCAGAAAGCCAGGCTCTCGATTTACCGGTCGATCTACGTCCCAATCCTCACCTATGGTCATGAGCTTTGGGTAATGACCGAAAGAACGAGATCGCGGATACAAGCGGCCGAAATGAGTTTCCTCCGTAGGGTGGCCGGGCTCAGCCTTAGAGATAGGGTGAGGAGCTCGGACATTCGGGAGGGACTCGGAGTAGAACCACTGCTCCTCCGGATCGAAAGGAGTCAGTTGAGGTGGTTTGGGCATCTGGTCAGGATGCCTCCTGGACGCCTCCCTGGGGAGGTGTTTCTGGCATGTCCTGCCGGCAGGAGGCCCCCGGGTCGACCCAGGACACGTTGGAGAGGTTACATCTCCAATCTGGTCCGGGAATGCCTTGGGGTCCTGTCGGAGGAGCTGGTGGAGGTGGGCGGGGAGAGGACGGTCTGGAGCTCCCTAGTTGGGATGCTGCCCCTGCGACCCGGACCCGTATTAGCGGAGGAAGACGACGACGATCCTGTAAAAAAAAAAGTTTTTTCCGTATGGGTAAATTTGCAGTAATTGTTTAGCCTAGCATGTAGCTAAAGCTTTTTATTTGGCTTCATTTGTTTAAAAGAGACAAACCAAAGTCTCTGACACCCATATCAGCCAGAAATGTCTTGATAAGATCAACTTGTTTGTTTTTCTAACTTCAGATTTGCTGACTGGTGGTTTTAGCTTGAGGAAACTGTGATGATAATTTTATATAAATAAGAAAAATGGAAATTTCAGATCTAAAATTCAGCAGTAAATATAAATAAATTTGTTTTATGTCCTCGTTTGATTGGAAAAACAGAACGAGTTCCCAGAAAGTCTCAAAATATGAAAAAGACATCATTTGCATATTTTTTGTGAACGCGATTCATAAACCTTCAGTTGTGGTACTCAAATGAGTGTGTGTGTGTGTGTGTGTGTGTGTGTGTGTGTGTGTGTGTGTGTGTGTGTGTGTGTGTGTGTGTGTGTGTGTGAGAGAGAGAGAGTAACCTTGTTTCCTAGGACCCCGCTTTTTCATCAAATCAGAAATGTTCTGCTTCATGTTTGCTGTTCCGATTATATTAAATACAAAATTTTATTTTTAATATCTGGAATAGCTTAAAAATAATTGGAAACATATATTTAATGATAACCCGTGTTTAATTGGTGACTTGAGAGCACGTTCCCTCCTTCGAGCTTTCAATTGTGGGACTTAATTTAGTTAAACTGAGGGGGTTTCCAGCATGTGGAGCGCAGCGTGAATCTAGACTGGAGGAGAGATTAAGTGCAAACAGCCTCAGATTTATAAAGAGTTTAATCAGAGAATGCATTCAATGCATTTGTTTTGATATTTTAACCCAGTTAAAGGTGATATTTCTGCTTTGCACAATCCTTATGATGCGAAGAGTTCGGAGAAAATAAAGGATTTAAATATCAAACTCAGAAATGTTTTGTCTGCATGAAACAGGCCGTCACCAAAGAGTCATTAGAAGGAAAGGCTGTTTATTTCCTCGCCACCACATATGTGTTGTCAGTGGTTTGCAAATAAAGATCTAAACAAGCAGCTTTTGCTGAATCTGTGGAAGTCGAAGGCATAAATGATTTTATTCTTGCATGGAGGAGGAAAGCAAACATTCTTCCTGCTATGAAGGCTCAGGATTTGGATTTGTCAAAAGCTTTATGTAAGAATGTGTTCAGTCAAGCAGTAAAGGAGGGATACAGGATGAATGCGCCCCAAAAAATCTAAACTTCCATGTGAGATTTTCACAGAAATACGAGTTTTTACAAGAACAAACAAACAACGCCCCAGTCAGATCAGAAAGCTTCTTAATGAGCTGCAGAACGTATTTACGAGCTGAAACTCGACGAAGGGCGGGACACTGAGAAAGGGCGTTAAATGTTCTGCTTCAGGCCTTTTTCTTTTTGTAAATGACAAACTTTTGGAAGCCATGTCCTTTTCTTTCAGACCACAGAAACTTTAACGCTGCACGCTCAGACGTGATGAGGTGGAACTTTTAGAATCTGATTTTACGTAAATCCTTGATTTTAGTTTACTGTCTTTTCTAATGTTTCTGCACACCTGACGTTCCTGTTGGGGATTCACAAACTTCCAGCACGATGTTTGTTCCCATAAACAAAAAATTAGCTTTAGTCTAAAACGCTTTAATAGCTTCATGTTTATCGTTTTGCTGTCTTCTAGTCTAGTTCTGCTGGATTTAAGCAGTTTGAGCAAGAGTCTTTTCCTTATTTGAACAAACTTGTGCAGCACATGTAGACCACCAACTGCTCTGGCTTCTGTCAGTGTTCCCAGGGCTGCTGTGGCTACGACCGTCAGTTTTATAAATGCAGGATACTACATTAACTTGGTAAGAACTTAATGTTGTAGGGCCCTATAGATGGATAGATGTTTGTTTTTAAAGCTCTTAATGTTTGCCCTCCCCCAGTATCTCTGATTTATTGGCTCTTAATACATCCCATAAGCCGTCGTTCCTGTTCTTGGGATTTCAGCACCCAGCTTCCGTCGGACATCAGGCTTTTTAACCCTCTGGAGGCAGGCGTTGCAGATTTACAGCAGTTAAAACCTGCCTGGTTACTCCACGTACGTATTTCATGCGCTGAGCCGATCTGTCGTGGTGAAGAGGGAGCTGAGCCAGAAAGCCAGGCTCTCGATTTACCGGTCCATCTACGTCCCAATCCTCACCTATGGTCATGAGCTTTGGGTAATGACCGAAAGAACGAGATCGCGGATACAAGCGGCCGAAATGAGTTTCCTCCGTAGGGTGGCCGGGCTCAGCCTTAGAGATAGGGTGAGGAGCTCGGACATTCGGGAGGGACTCGGAGTAGAACCGCTGCTCCTCTGGATCGAAAGGAGTCAGTTGAGGTGGTTTGGGCATCTGGTCAGGATGCCTCCTGGACGCCTCCCTGGGGAGGTGTTTCGGGCATGTCCTGCCGACAGGAGGCCCCCGGGTCGACCCAGGACACGTTGGAGAGGTTACATCTCCAATCTGGTCCGGGAACGCCTTGGGGTCCTGCCGGAGGAGCTGGTGGAGGTGGCCGGGGAGAGGACGGTCTGGAGCTCCCTAGTTGGGATGCTGCCCCCGCGACCCGGACCCGGATAAGCGGAGGAAGACGACGACGACGTATTTCATGAGCATTTTTTAACCATCGGTTTTAACTCAGAGGTACCCCTGAAGGACTTAGTCGTTCATTCTTTTATCAAAACGTATTTTGAGCCTGAGAGGGTTAATCCAAGCTTAAGACATTTTTATTCAGGATGGCTTTTTACTGTGACAGTTAATTCCAGATATTTAACTTTTATTTATTGTCTTTGTTTTGTTTTTTGAAGATCTTTGCAAAGCGAATCAATGAAGCACAAAGTGGGTACGACTAGAGGAGGAGTTTAAATGAAAGCCTCTTTTATTTATTTTAGTTTTGCAGCCTGAGATTCCTGGTTTCGTAGGTCAGTATGCATGTTTACAGTCTGTGATGAGGATGCACCTAAACAGTAAGCTGATGCGTGCACGTAAGGCTGTGGGTAAGTATGTTATTTTATCCTCAGCAGCACAATGAGCTGGTTTCAGATATCAGCTCTGGAAAGTCCCCGGATAATTACGCCGGACTTTGTCTCCTGCTCCGTCTTCCTTCTTTCTTTGCTTTCATTTATACATTTGTTTAATATTCATTTATTCTTTTCTGCTGATTAGTGACTCGCTGCTGCAGCTTTTCTGCATATTTAAGCAGCTCAACTTTATTTTAATTTTTTTGCTCAAAGTCCCATTAGAGGGGGAACATTTCTGCAGGTTTACATCGTTAGGTTTACATTTCTATCAAATGTTAGTGGTGGCATGCAAACCGTTTCACGTTTCAAGTCCAGGGGAATTCACAGCAGCCTATTTCCATATTACTGCTCTCTCAAAGCAAAAGCAGCAACAATGTACCCTGGCTGGAGGCCTATTCTGAGCTGCAGCGTAATTCCTGTTATGGTTCAAAGCTGCAGCACTGAAGGCAGACCAGAAATTCACGCTCAAGTGGGCTGCAAGTATTTTCCCGTCCCAAAGATGAAACTTGCTTTATTCCCTGCAGTGCAACGAACAACTTCAAACAGCTGTGCTGCAGATTTATAGATTTTTTTTCCCCATAAAAAATCCTCCAAATGCGAAGAGAAAATGTTGAGCTGTGCAAATAAAAGTTAATTCTTGAAGATTTCAGCCATTTAAGGTTTCCACTGTTGCGCAGTGCTTCGTCCAGCTGGTTGTGCGGGAAAGGCCGGGTTGATTTAAAACCGGTCTGGAACCCGACAGGTGGACTTTCTGTGCTTTTTCTGCAGGTTTTAGTTTCCACCCAGTTTAAAAGAATCCGAAAGTCTTTGACTTTAAAACTGAGAACAAGCAGATGAAAGCGAAATCTGACCGCATTGGAGGACATTACCTTACCATACTTAAAAAATACGATCAACAAAAGGGAAGCAGAGAGAAAGAAAAGTAAAAATAAAGAAATGGAAAAGTTTTACAGTTTAAATACAGATTAGACAAATGTACCCATTTTCGTGCAACTGTTATTGTCAAAAATTAAATAACACAGTAAATTTAAGGCTTGAGTGTGTTATTTTTACTCCCTTAAACCAGCCAGGTGTCCTTGCGACCGACCTTGGTCAGTTGGCCATTAGACGTAAGCAACATGTTAGAAACCTTGGTGTCATCTTCGATGAACACATGAATTTCAACAAACAGATCAATGCGGTAGTCAAGTTTTTATCAGCTTAGGGCTGTTTCCGGGCTGAAACTGTTTTTAAACGGCTCTGACCTGGAAAAAGTCATTCATGCCCTTAAAGCTCGTGCATCGATTACTGCAATGCCCTGCGTGTCGGTTTATCCAAGTCCTCCATCGCTCGTCTCCAACTAGTCCAAAATCCTGCAGTCCGTCTCCTCGCCGCTAACACACCTAGGCGGAGCCATATTGCTCCCATTCTCTAAGAACTGCACTGGCTTCCTGTGTTTTTCAGAATACGATTCAAAATTTTAATGTTCACGTTCACGAGCATCCATGGCCTCGACCCTGCCTATCCCTCTCACTCCTTGTCCATACGTCGGCTAACACAGTCCACTAGGTCAGAGGGGAAGCTTTTTCTTGAAGTCCCTCGATCTAGATACAAGCACTGGGGTGACCGCTCTTTTTCAGTCGTGGCTCCAGCAGTCTGGAACAAACTCCCTGATGACCTGCGTTTTACCTCTGAGCGCTTGTTTAAGCGCAAGCTTAAAGCCTGTTTTCCAAAAGCCTTTTTAGCTGTTGGCTCTCTTAACCTCTTTTTTAGCTTTCTCTTTAGCTTAGTTATGTCACTTATATGTTGTATTTACTTGTATGTTATTGTTTTATGAGATTTTACTTGCGCTGGTTTTATGTAATATCTTTTATTGTTTTGTCCTGTAAATCACTTTGGTCACCTTCCATGGTTGTGGAAAGTGCTATACAAATAAACTTGGTTGATTGATTGATTGATTGATTGATTGACTTTAAAGTGACAGTGTGTCATTTTCCTGGCGATAGGGGGCAGTAGAACCCTAAATCGTTGCAAGCAAGCAGCATTTTTGTGTTGGAGTAAGACCTTACCAACGGATGCTCATTAGGGTCAAAAAGCCCTGGAGAGTGCAAACTTTAGCAAAATAACGAGCACATCAGACTCCCTTTCATCACTGGCCACAAGTGAAGAGGTAAATGTGTAAAACAGCAACATTTAAGAATGACGGAAGTTTTGTAACCATTTGTTACAAATCAGTAATGCATTTTGTCCTCACGGGCTCTCGTAGAAGGAGACATGCATTGGTTCGGCGTCTGCAGTGATGCGGACGCTGGGCCGATCTGTCGTGGTGAAGAGGGAGCTGAGCCAGAAAGCCAGGCTCTCGATTTACCGGTCCATCTACGTCCCAATCCTCACCTATGGTCATGAGCTTTGGGTAATGACCGAAAGAACGAGATCGCGGATGGTGTCGCCAAGAGACTTGGACCTGCTCCCATGTATTTTAGACCTGATTTTTATGGTTATACTATGTTAGCTGCCAATATTTTTCAACAACTGGGCATCATTTCATTCATTTTTAACAACATTTTGATGGATATTTCCAGAAATTAATGATAAAAACTACACATTGTACCTTTAAGGTTCCTTAAAGGTACAATATGTAAGAATGTTACAGTGAAATAATCACAAAACAGTCTAATGTCTCAATCATTTTGGAAGGAAGGTTACATTGAAACAGACTTCCTTCTCAGCCGTTTAGGGGGCTTGTCAGTTTTTCTGTTTTTACAATAGTTGAGGACGTAGTCTTTGTTTACCATCTTCTCACCTTTGTACTTCCTGGTTCCAGAGTCAATCATGTTTGAGCTAGCAAACACTTTGCTGGCATTTTAGTACTGAAAGCAGATTATTTAGTTTGATACATGGACTGCAGTACTCACATCTGACCACAAGATGTCGTCCTTACGCCATACAACTTTACATATTGGTAAAATAAGAAGTTAACCCCGTTGTTGTGTTTATTGAAGTTGGTTGGGTGTGGCAGCCATCATTGTTTGGGAAATTCCAAAAGTGATTTGATTTTAAATGAATGCCCAGTGAAAATTTTCACTAAAAAGTCATAGACAGGCAAAAACATTAGAACCTGCCTTTTTTCCTCTGGTTCTAATTAGAGAACAGATGAGTCCAGGCAGGAAGCTTCGAGAGCTAGCAGCTCAGAGCATAAAACACTCGTCTGTTTTGTGTTTTAACACTTTGGTTTGGATAAAAATATCTCAGCAAACACAGTTTCCTTTCACGTTATTAAAGTAGCTTTCCGGAGTTTTCTACTTTCAGAAATTACGTATGTTTTTTCAGAAATCTGTAAAAGTCATTATCTTATCATGTACTATGATAAAATGTAAGCAATACAACTTTTTTTTCTGCTAAGCACGTCCCCTGCCTCGTAGAGCTCCGTGCCGTAGGAAACTGAGCGCCGACCAGAACTAACCAATAGCGTTAGACTACCGCTTAGATGCTTCAAATTGAAGGAATACCTCGGCTGATGCAGAGTTGATGAACTTTTCACAGACAAGAAAGTCTTTAAAATATAAATATATGAGAACACCCAGGTATCCTTGCGACCGACCTTGTCAACTCCTGGTCGGGGGAGAGGTCCTACCTCAAGTGGAGGAGTTTAAGTATCTCGGGGTCTTGTTCACGAGTGAGGGTAGGAGGGATCGGGAGATCGACAGGCGGATTGGTTCGGCGTCTGCAGTGATGCGGACGCTGAGCCGATCTGTCGTGGTGAAGAGGGAGCTGAGCCAGAAAGCCAGGCTCTCGATTTACCGGTCGATCTACGTCCCAATCCTCACCTATGGTCATGAGCTTTGGGTAATGACCGAAAGAACGAGATCGCGGATACAAGCGGCCGAAATGAGTTTCCTCCGTAGGGTGGCCGGGCTCAGCCTTAGAGATAGGGCGAGGAGCTCGGACATTCGGGAGGGACTCGGAGTAGAACCGCTGCTCCTCTGGATCGAAAGGAGACAGTTGACGTGGTTTGGGCATCTGGTCAGGACGCCTCTCTGGGGAGGTGCTTCGGGCATGTCCTGCCGGCAGGAGGTCCCCCGGGTCGACCCAGGACACGTTGGAGAGGTTACATTTCCAATCTGGTCCGGGAACGCCTTGGGGTCCTGCCGGAGGAGCTGGTGGAGGTGGCCAGGGAGAGGACGGTCTGGAGCTCCCTAGTTGGGATGCTGCCCCCGCGACCCGGACCCGGACAAGCGGAGGAAGACGATGACGACGAAAACACAACATGACATGATAATAATACTCGTAAAACAACTTGTTTAAGCTCTGTCGGCTACAGAAGCACATTTATAAACCAGAAACGTGAAGTCGCCATTATAAAAAAAACAGAGCGACAGACTTTTTGTGTGATATGCTTGTCAGCCACTAGATGGTGCCATCGGAAAAGAGAAATACTCCGGAAAGAGACTTTCTAGAAGAAAAGCTCTAAAATAATTTTAAATTAAAGTGTATTCAAAAAATACAAAAAAAAAAAAAACATGAAAGAAGGGTTTTCTAAAGGTTTGTTCTGGATGTCTGCAGAATGATGTTAAACGCGTTTGCTTCCTGATGCTGAGAACACAAAGAACTTTCTTAGCATACTAATAATATTAATCCTAAATGTCTTTTTGACACAATGGAAAGCAGTGTGAGATCTAATAACAGGGCGTTATGTGATCAGAGCGAGGAAACAATCTGCTGCTCTCTGAATTAACCAGAACAAAGTCTTTCCATTATTCTGCATGGAAAATAGAAACGTTTGTTTTCAAGGATGATCTGATTAGCATGAACGTTTGTTAAAAACTCCTCACCTACAGAGGATTTTACTTCTGACTCTACGAAACAAAATGCAGCAAAAACTGTTATTTTAGTTTGATCCTGAACAACAAAACTGTTGGGTCTGCACTAAGCTTTGGATGCAGCTGTGTGAACGTGTTAGCTCAGACATAAAGACTTTAAGCTTTTGCTGGAAATCCAACTGTAGAATATTAAAAAGCAACTATTTTTTGCTGCAGGTGATCGAATCGGCCGATGTTCAGGGCGATCGGCTCATCTGAAACACACAAATTCAGTTTGTGAATGCACCAATGTCAAGTAGCAGTAAAAATATGCTTTTAGTTCTTTGATGTAAATTGTTGTTGGCCCTCAAAAGCAGAATTGGTGCAGCTCTGTCCCCATGCAGAGATGCAGCATGCAAAGACAAGTTTAACACATTTAGAAACGGTTTCCTGCAACTGCAAACCTATTTTAATCACGTTTTATCGTCTGCTGTGTTTGTGCTCAGGAGCTGGAGCGGTTTAAGGTGTTTGTGAAGAGGAAGCCAGCTTTTGATGTGGTCATTGATGGGCTGAATGTTGCAAACATCAACAAGGACAAGAACAAGCAGTCTGACACGGTGAGAGCACACACTGGTGATTCAAGATTTCACAGGTTCTGATTTTTATGTGAATATTCTGCAGACGCATGCATGCAGTTTAATAGAGTTTAGTGGTTCCTTTCGACCAATGCGAGGGGTTTTCTGCCAGTTTCACTCTGAGCAACCCTGCAGCGGGCGCATCTGTCTGAAGTGTGTGAGCTGTGCATTTAAATTTGGCCGGCACCTGATTTTAACATCACCTAACCTACATGTCTGCCTGCCCACATCTAGCTGTCTGCACCTCTTTCTCACACAATAATTAGCTGCAAGTCAGGAAAGTACAGCAGATAACCATCACCTCGTCATCTGCAGTAGTTTGTGGGAAAGTTAAATAACTCGACACAGACATTTACGTCCAGGACTTTTTATTCAAATATCTGCGTGAATGAAATCACAGATCAGCTAAAGCATGAAAAGACCTGCTGGATTCTGCAGAAAACGACGACTAGAGGGACCTGCAGCTTTGTGAATGGAGTAGATCTACTAACTCATCTCCAAAATCAAAGATTCAATATTTTAAGCAACATCAGGATTTTTTTTCTTGCTATGTGCAAGTTAAGAGCATCGCTCAAAGTTTTACTGTTGAATTTCTTAGACATCAAAAAAGTTAGATTAAAAACCGATAGAAATAGAAATAAAGACCCTAAATCTAATAACCTACTGCACCTCAGCTAGGACCTTTATGTTATAAATGATTTTTTTTGTTTATCTTTGTTGTTTGACTCGTTTTCTGCCAATTTTGATATTCCTGTTATTTTCTAAATGGTAAATGGCCTGTATTTGATGTAGCGCCTTCTAGAGTCCTGGAACCCCCCAAGACGCTTTACAACATAATCAGTCATTCACCCATTCACACACACACATTCACACACTGGTGGGGATGAGCTACAATGTAGCCACAGCTGCCCTGGGGCGCACTGACAGAGGCGAGGCTGCCAAGCACAGGCGCCACCGGTCCCTCCGACCACCACCAGCAGGCAAGGTGGGTTAAGTGTCTTGCCCAAGGACACAACGACAGTGACAAACTGAGCGGGGCTTGAACCTGCAACCTTCATAAACTGACCCATCATAAACCTTTGTCGGCTGTGCTGAAGAGAAAGGTACAGAACCAAATTATTTAATTAATTAGCTGTGCGTTCTCCTGTCCTCTGGGCCACACACACACACACGGGACTGTCTCAGCTGTTATTTTCGTTAAGGAGTGTGCACGTACAGCATGCGCGCCTCGTGCACGAGCCTACTATTGTAGCTGCCGTTACGCTTTTGGCCTGAGGGGGCAATCGCGAGCATAAAAATTCAAAACTCCGTAAAGTCCTTTTAAGCTCTTTTTCTTCTTGTTTTAAAATGTAAAAACTGTATTTTTCTCTTGTTGTGGTTTTGAAACCAGATTTTTGACCTGATAATGCACAAAAACTTTAAATACTGATGTGTGATTGTGCGTTCCAGCTGTTGGCGGTGGTGTCGGCGCTTGAGGATCAGGGTCTGAATGTTCTGGTGCTGGGGAGAAAACACATGCTGAGGCCCTCCAGATTCTGGAGCAAACACAACATGAGCCTCATCCAGCAGAAAGCACACTGCTTCTTCACTGATAACATGTGAGAATCTTAGAATCATGAAAGATATGGGAAATCCATTTCTAGACACTACATATTCCGATAGCTGTGCACTATTATTCCTTCTGTCTTCATTCAGACACATTTATAAAAAGGGCAAGAGATTGCAAAAGAAATAATTTTCATTTTATCGTCAATTTATTCATCAACAATATAAATCAGAACAGAAATGATAAAGAAGAAGAAGAAAATATCATTTCTATAGTGCCTCTCAAGATAAAATTCACGAGGCACTTCACAAAAACAAAAAATGTAAAAATATAAAAAAGAATTTAGAAAATTGTTAAAAATATATTTCAAATGAGCAACAAACAAAAAAAAGATGTGGAACATAAAGGTGTTTTTTTTGCTGTCCTAATATCAGCTCTGAGGACGATCCTTTCCTGCTTTACGCCACGTTGCATTCTGGGAACCACTGTCGATTTGTGAGCAGGGACCTGATGAGGGACCACAAGGCCTGCCTGCCGGATGGGGCCTCAAGGCGGCTCTTTTTCAAGTGGCAGAGGGGCCATCAGTTGGTCATCGGTGGGCATGTCGCACCTGGCAGGAGCATCCGCTTTCAGGTAAAAATTAATGTGATTATAATCTGAAATAGTCACGAATATAAAAAAAAACTAAACACCAAATAATGTCTTTTAACAGAGTATTCCCGAGTACGACACTATTGTCCAAACAACAGGGGATTCATGGCACATTCCCTACGATGATACGGAGGACCGGAGCACATATGAAGTTCCACTGCGATGGTTGTGTCTCACTAAAAAACACTGATCCAAGTTATTGTGATTTAAATGTAAAATAAATAGCCACAACTGTAAATAAAACCGTTCAAACTACTTGTAGTGTCTCGTTTCCTGCGTTTGTAGTTCTTCAGTTGAAAAAAACTACAACTCGTGATAGCTGACCTGGAAGCGGAAGTTGGACGCGCTACTTTCGGTGCTGAATTTCCAGGTTTTGTTTCTCCTACTCGGTGTAGTTTCAGTTTATTTTACGTGTTTGTCCCGCTTTATTTTGTGGCCGGCATGTCTCGGGGATCCAGTGCGGGTTTCGACCGGCACATCACCATCTTCTCCCCGGAGGGAAGACTTTACCAAGTCGGTGAGGAAGAAAAGAAAGAAACCTGCTCTGTCATCGCTGCTAACAAGCTAACTGAAGCTAACTATAGATGTGCCACCAAGAATAAACCACGATAATGTATTTGTCACATTAAAGCAAATTATACACAAACCGGGTTATTTTACCGCGTGTTGGTTGTTCCTAAAGCTAATTCTAAATGTTAAACATTATAGTGAAGTCTTTACGTGATGCAAATCACTTTCTGAGCATCTTTAAGTATCAGAAGGTTTTAATGCCATATTTGCGAGATTCACGACATTGGCTGCGGTACTAGATGCAAGAAAAAATAAATAAGCAAGAATTTGAATTAAGAAATAAACACAATGAAATGACAAGAATATAGGAGAGATGCAGCTTCTTTATGCTAGTCGGTGTATTTATCTTTTCCGTTGAGATAGTTTTCTATGAGCTTTGAAATTTTTTATAAAATTCACAGATTTTTTTTCTCCGTACTTTTGCTGCTTTTTATACTCAGATTCTGTCCAGTTATTTAATTATAAGATGATTTAGTTGTATTTTGTTAGAAGCAATGAGCTGTGTGATGCATGGAATCAGTCCTGGAGGGAAAAAGCCACCTTTTGGCCTCATCACTTTATTTATACGTCAGCATTTTGCAACAAAAGTAGTCTCAGCTATTCTCCGACTTTGTACAACTCAGTCCAATATGGTCAGGTTCAAATCAAATGACTGGTAATCCCAATAAATACAGCCAGGGTCTGTAAATGATAAAAGGTTGCGTCGGTAAAAAGTTGTCTTTTTGAAGTTTTTGAGTTAAATCTTAATCAACTTCAACACCCAATTTTAGTCAGCAGGCGATTAACAGGCTGTGCATGAGATTCAGCCATTAAAGCAGTTGTGACGGAGCAGGGAAACGTCTAAAACAGGCTGAACAGCAGCTCTCCAGGACCAGGATTGGACACCCCTGATTTAATTCGTCCACCCTGAGGATGCACAAACAGTGTCTGACTTCAAACAGCATCTATATGTATTTTTTTAAACAAAACAACAGTTAAACAGTCTACTAGTGATACAAAATACTAGTGATGTGCAGAAAACAACAATTTTAAAAGAATTTCATAGAGTTGCACCTATTTAAATTGCACTTTAAATAAATTTAAAAAAAACTGTCATACTCTTCACTTCTGTTCACTCGCAGAATATGCTTTCAAAGCCATCAACCAGGGAGGACTGACCTCTGTGGCGATCCGAGGGAAGGACTGCGCTGTGGTCGTCACCCAGAAGAAAGTCCCTGTCAGTAAAACCATGAAGACGTGTGTGTTTCTGTCTCCTACCCCGATGTTTCCATCGTTTGTTTCTCTTACTCCCTTTTTGTGTTTGTCAGGACAAGCTGCTGGACTCTGCAACAGTAACACATGTGTTTAAAATCACAGAGAACATCGGCTGCGTTATGACCGGCATGACTGGTGAGCAACGTCTCACTCAAGGGCTGATTTGTAGAGTGAACCTGTAATGTTTTCAGAATAAAGCATCCGTTTTGCAGGTTTGCTCCATCTTAATGTTTGGATCGTGCATTTTCTGTGATTTCCCAGCTGACAGCAGGTCTCAGGTGCAGCGAGCACGCTATGAAGCCGCTAACTGGATGTACAAATATGGCTACGAGATCCCCGTGGACATGTTGTGCAAACGCATAGCTGACATCTCCCAGGTCTACACGCAGAACGCCGAGATGAGGCCGCTGGGCTGCTGTGAGATTTTGTCTTTCAAACTCAACGCTGGCTTTTGGTTTTGCTCTGAGCTGTAAAGAACTAAAATGAATCAATTTGTAAAACAGTTGTGTCCTGTCCAGGTCCCCCATGGGACGTCATTCTGCATGGTTTAGAGATTTTTCTGCTTCAACATGCTTGATTTTAATAAGCAGGGGATTAGCAGCCTCCAGCAAAGCTTGATGAGCTGCTGAATGGCTGAATTCACCCTGGAATTGGGTGTTTTGGAGCAGAGAAACAACTGAAACATGCTGGACAGCAGCCCTTTTGGACTAGGATCAGACACGTCTGATCTAGAAGCAGGTGTTTTGATATAAAATGTTTTGTGCAGGTATGATTGTGGTTGGTGTGGACGAGGAGCTGGGCCCACAGCTTTTCAAATGTGATCCAGCTGGCTACTACTGTGGCTTCAAGGCCACAGCAGCTGGAGTCAAACAGACCGAGGCCACCAGCTTCCTTGAGAAGAAGTTTAAGAAGAAATTAGACTGGACTTATGAGCAGGCAGTAGAGGTAGGACACCAGAATTCACACCAAAACAGCAATGACACAAACTGGATCCATGTGAAGAAAACATCCAAAACTTGTCTTATAAAAGCATTAAACTATTTTTTGACTCCTTTTTTTTTGTCCCAAACCAGTTGGCTATTTCATGTTTGTCCACTGTCCTGTGCATCGACTTCAAACCCTCAGAGCTGGAGGTGGGATTTGTTTCTACACACGAACCGAAGTTTAAGTGAGTATTTATCTAACATCTGTTTTGGTGATCCTGCTAATACAAATTTATCTACAATTAACAGAGTACGCATATGTGTAGTTCTGGTTGACTAGTATGTCATAGATTAGTTCAGGGAAAATATTTTTTTTTCTTGACTGTTTCTTGGAAAAGCAGCTTTTTGGCCAATCTGATCAGCATCAACAAAAGTAGGGCTGCACAATATCAAATCAGATCAAATCAAAGATACTTTATTAATCCCAGAGGGAAATCAGAGTTTCAGTACACACAATTCAGAGATCAGACATACATGGGCAAGACACATGACAAGAATTGGTGACTGTGGTCATTCGCAACCCTGAGTCGCGCTACCTTAATAGAGATAAGAGGGTTACATGAGGATTGGTTCAGGTGGAGGGGAAAAAAAGGCACTTCAGAGCTACCCTCCCCCAGGAGGGCAGCTTTGCTCTGCAAAAAAACACCTCAGACAGATATGCGACAGACTTCAGACCCCACTAGGTGGGGTGGTGGGTTGGGACTATCCACACTTCAGTTCCTGCAGCCACGATAAGCAGCGCATGTCACCTCAGTGTGGATAGGGGGAGGAGCATTGAGGGTTGGAGGGTTGCAGTGACCCTGGAACGTTTCAGCGGCCTTCCCCCAGTCCCGCCCAGGCTGGGAAAGGAGACAGAGTTGAGTTGCCATAGCGACGGCACATTCCACATATCTTCTGAGGGGGGAGTTTTCGTTGGAGCCTTGCAGGCTCAAGGACGCCAGATTCTGATTAGAAATTGTTTTGGGGCCAGACAGAGATAATTTCCTCTCTGTCTTACAGTTTGATGATCCTCAACCTCTCAAAATCCCAATAATGGACGTTAATCTATCCCAATCCGTGCTGATTCGTCCACTCCCTCCGACGAATATATAGGTCGTAAATATATCGTTATCGCGATATCAGCATGCGCAATATGCATATCGCAAAGAACAGATAAATATCGCAATGAATGGTCAGCTCAAATGTTTGCTGCACATAATGCATTCTGTCAATCAAATGAAAGCATGATGGGTTTTTTAACAACGCAAATAGAGCTCTTCACCCATTTGGCCAATTGGGTGGGTTCTCATTGGTCAGATGCCCGCCCCCGAGGTGGACGGCACTTCATGTTGATGGTTAGCAAACACCCGAGTTAGCTTTGTTCTGCTCTTTCTGCTGATTCTGCTTTTCCCGGGATCCACTGATTGTCTTTTCTTCATTTTCTTTTTCCCTTTCCTCACATCGTTTGCTTTTCTAATTTTTATGATTTTTTAAATTTCTTTGTTTTTGATTATTTTTGTTCCTGAGTTAAGTTTTTATTTATGGCAAGTATCACCGTCATCGCAATATTAATCACTGTTATCGAACATCGCCGGTTTTCCTAATACCGTGCAGCCCTAAACAACGGTTAGGATAAAGTAATGCAGCGGTGTTGATGTTCTACAGTCATTTAGAAAATAAAAAGGGTGCAAGTGAAGTGAAGTCCCACCAGGAATGAGGCGGTTGTGAAAACGCGTGTTTGTGTTTCAGGATCCTGTCGGAGTCGGAGATCGACGCTCACCTGCTGGCTTTGTCTGAGAGAGAGTAAGACGGAGACGAATGGTAAAAACATCCGTCACAAAACTCAAACCAGAAGGAAGATAAACGAGGAGCAGACCTGGTTTTTGCTCAGAGGAGATTTCAAACATGAAGTTCGTCGACCACTGCCCCTTCCATGAATCCAGGATGAAATCTGAACCGGACCTTTCACACTAACACGTCCCGACTGCAGCCAGACCCTGAAAAGATGCTGGACAGATGTTAGGTTGGAGGAAAACTCGGCATCAGCAGTATGCAGTATACCTCTTAGATTTGGACTCGGTAGTCCTCCAAGTACACCTTTACTCAGGTCGTCTTTACCTGCAGTCTGAAGTAAATCACATTTTTGTTCTTTAATATGAAAAAAAAAAAAAAAAAAAACAAGGAGCAGCTGTGGGAGTTTTCCTTCCTCTCTGTCCAAATCTGCTCAGGTCAACAGGAAGATGTCACTCATTCAGTCTCTGCTCTGCTGCAGTCGTGGCGTTGTGTTTGCTGCATCTCAATTAAACAACGTTTTTTTATTTACCTCTAAAGTCTCAGTGACAGTTTAAACTTACCCTAAGATTCAGTTTGGTTTTGCCGATGCGTTCAAAGGCCTAGCTGAGGGTTCGTCGCTGTGGCTCATCTTCATTTCCTCACATTTACTAGACGAGACACGTCTTGGAGGGGCTTTACGCTCGGCCACAGCTGTTTCCCGTCTGCAACATGGCCATCAAACGCAGGACCAACATGTTTGTTACTGAGGTTCCTGCTAAAGGTGGAATTTCTCTCAGTTTGGATTAAACGAACCTAGAACTAACAGCCTGTTTGTAATGTTACATCATTTTAACTTTTTTAAAGTGTAAGTCATGAACAACTGGACAGATCTTAATGAAACTCTTTAAAAATATTTATTGGTCGCAAATCTCGACAATTTAAGATGGCCACCGCAGCAAACTGACCCGATGCGCAAACCGATTTGTATTCATTAGTTGTCATTTTAAAAAAAACTTCCGTAGTAAAAAATGCTGCTGTAGAGAATTTCACGAGATTGTCTCCGAAACTCCAGCGTTGGCCCAGATTCCCCAACAGGAGACAAAATCTAGTAGATCGTTTTTGTTTAATTCAGACCCTTCTGAGAAGAATGGTTACTCTTTTTGTGCTGTGAGCCAGATGGCGCTTATCCATTCTGTCCACATTTGAGTGCTACCCAGCTAATTTGAATTTAAAATCTTTAAAAAATTCTTAACCCTCCCACTGTCTTCATGGGTGACCCCGCCAGGAAAGCTCACCATTGAGCAGGATTGATGGTTTAACCCTTGAGGTCCATGTGGCAGGGGTGAGGGGTGCTGACTACCGGTTGAGAGGAGGCGCACCCAGAGTAGTTTCGGCTCGTTCATTTGAACCCTTTTGGGACATTAGAATTAGTTTGCTAACTAATGGGTTTTGGCCATGTTTGTGTTTGCTAACCATCTTTAGCTGTAGGGGCCTTCTTGATTCATGTTGACTCCAAAAGTAGTCGACGTTCCTTTAAAGAGCAAGTCACCTCAAATCAACTTTTTTTTTCTGATAAATATAAACGCGTGTCTAGTCGTGCTGCAGACACGTGTAGTCAATAGTTTAACACTTTAGTGCATTTTAGTTAAAATTTAAAATTTCTGCCTAAAACTGTCAGTGTTATGCCGTTGTCAGGTAAAAACTGCACTGCATTTGAATTTAAATCTGCCATCGCTATTGGCTAAGAGGTACCCTAGAACGTTAGCTGGTACCATATGATGTCACAGTGTCGTTATGAGCCTGTGTGTGTGTGTATTTGTTAGTGGCTCCGCCCTCGGTCTGCTAGGCAACAGCATTTGTTGCATTTTTCAAACAGGAAGTGGGAGTGGAGTAATACTCTGGTAGGGGTGACTTACTCTTTAAAGTTTCATTAACCCCTTAAAGAGCAAGTCACCCCCTGCCAGAGTCTTACTCCACTCCCACTTCCTGTTTGAAAAATGCAAAAAAAATGCTGTTGCCTGGCAGATTTCACACACACACATGACATTGTGACCTCATAATGTACCAGCTGACATCATAGTGTACTTCTTAGCCTATAGCAATGGCAGATTAAGTTGAAATGCAATGCAGAGTTTTTACCTGACAACTGTGCAGCAATGAGTTTTAGGCAGAATATTTAAATTTTAACTAAGATGCACTTAAGTGCCAAATGATTGCATGTGTCTACAGCATGGTTAGACACTCATTTATATAGTTAATCATCAAAAAAAGAAGTGGATTTGGGGGTGACTTGCTCTTTAAATTTCCAGGTTTAATGAATGTAGTGGGGTTTGTCCCATGGGCGGGGTTAAAATCCCTTCAGTGATTCATGAGGCGTTTAGCTAACATTAGTCAAACACACAGGATCTTTAGACATTTTTAGGTTTTTTCATGTTTATTTGTGGACACTGAACTCAATTCATTCAAATCACTTCCTGTTTGGGCCATTTCTGTGATGAACCTGTTACCGATCTGTAGATTCGCAGCTAAAAGGCAACAAAGCAGTGAAAGTTTTAAATCAACTACCTGCAGCCCACTTCTTCAGACCCGATCACAGAACTGGATGCTAAGCAGAATTCCTCATCTTTTACGGGCCGACTTCAGTTTCCTGTTGAGCTGACGCTCCTGCCCCTTGGGTGGGAGTGACGAACAGGAATGTCACAGCCAGTGTTCTGTTCCTGGGATTTTCCTGTCCTCTAGTTAAGCCACACCTTCCCACAGAAACAAAACGTCCTGATTTAGAGGACACGCACTCAAGAATTCCCAAAAGCTCTTATCTCTGTTCCACACTCGGATCTCATAGAACCGGTTAACTGACCACAGGTTCCTCATTCAGCTGTCGAGGAATTAGCATCTCCCTGTTCTATATGAAAACACGCGGACTGGTCCGGAGCCGGGGCATTTATAGGAACGCTGGTACTTTTCTGCATGATTACAGCGCTGTTGTACGGCCGTGCGTCGCTTCTGTTTAATTAGCATCTCTGAATTCTGTCTTTGAACCAGTGAAAAAGCAGAAAATGTCCAAAAATATAAATTTCCTTCTGTATCGAATGTTTACTTTCAGTGTGACAGAAACAAACAAACAAACACAGGTTTGAACTGTTAAATATGAGTGTTTTAATTTATCTGGAGTGAACTGGAACTGTTTGCTGTCTTGACATATACAACCCGCTAAACTGTACACATTCACAGCATCCATTAAAAAATACATCTTTGTATACACAGCATTTACAGCATCATACAGAGCCGCGACGCGTTCGTCCGTTCAGATGGAGCTCGTCCCTCTGTATGATGACTTTCAGTGTCCAAGGGGATAAAAGCCATCCGTTTACGCCGAAATCCCATTAGGATGAGTGCCGTCGCTCTGCTGCGGTCTTCCGTTTGTCTCACAACTGCCCGCTCGCTCTGTTTCGGTAACGCTCGAGCCGCCGCGTCATTTCCCCCCGACGCGACGGCACAGAAATCATACACGTGCTGAGCAACGTCTCCACCATCATCTTGGCTTCTTCTCCTCATCCTCTGCTCCTGCTAATGTCCATTCCACTGAATGTCATCGTAAGGCACCTGCAAATGAAGGCGAGCAATGATATGAGGATTACACACCTGATTCTGAATGTTTACGGTCTTGTTTGTTGTTTCAAATGTAATTTCAACCCACCATATCAAACTCATCCTCCTCTTCCTCACTGAGGTCCGATTCGCTGTCGGGAAGCTCCCTCAGGTCTGGGTGGGTCACTGGGTACAGTTCTTTCCTGATGTCCCAGTTTTCCAGACCGTAGGTGAGATGGAAGGGGGTGTGGCCTCCAGAGGTCAGGAGGTTGGGGTCTGCACCTTTCGTCAGCAGGAGTTTGACCAGGGAGTGGTTCTGTTGGTCCACGGCCAAATGCAGCGCACTGCGACCGTTGTGCTGCTCCTATACAAGACAGACGTTCCATCAGAACGGAAACTCACCAAATAAACTGAATAATCCCATTTTAATCCCCAAAACCTGAACTTTACTCACTGTTGCATTGATGTCAGCTCCAAGATCCACCATTCTCTCCACCAGTGAGAGGAAACCGTTGACTGAAGCCAAGTGGAGACAGTTCTGACCTGCAGAAAACGAGAGAAGGTGTTTAACATCCGACTAGACCAACAACAGCTGTATCAGATTAGAAAGCAACATCACTAATCTGACCTTTTAAACATTTTTATTCAAATTTTACACAAAAACAGTAAAGGATTATTTTGAGTTTGTATGATTAACAAGTTCTTAATCATTTTAATCCAAAAGATGGATTTTTAAATCAGAATGAAAATATGGTAATCCCCTGGATTATCAAGCGTTCCATCCTCCTAACTTCAATATTCTGCAGCAATGGGAAGGAGAAACTACAGAATCCGGTTTTTATTCCACAAAACTCACCATTATAGTTGCAGGCGGCCATCGCTGTGTGTAGGTGCTCCGGCCTGCAGTTCTGTGTGATCACGCTGAAGCAATGCAGGTTACCGTGGCGACAGGAGATGTGAAGAGCCGTGTCACCACTGCGGTCCACCAGTGTGGGGTCACAGCCAGACAGCAAGAGACTGTGACACACATCTGGCTGATTTGTTATTACTGCTAGGTGGAGAGGAGTCTGCAGGGAAAAGGAAAAGATGTTTTAATGCATGTCCATACAAACATGGAGGTGGTGTGATTTAAGAGATGGGGTAAGTACGGATATAAAAGAGAGAAGATTACCTGTCTCAGGTCATTCTGTCTGTTAAGGAAGTTTGTGTTTTTGGACAGGTCGATCATTTGTCTGATGTAGTCCTTGGCCTCGTGGATGATGGCCAGGTGGAGCAGCCTGCAGGAAAACAACCAACACATCAGCAAAGTGTAGTCAGAAGTTCAGAACCTGATTGTTTTACTTTGGTTCGGTGAGAAATAAAGTTTTTGTTTTCCTTAAAGGAAACAGAAAGTAAGGAGTCATTTATCACAAGTGCAACAGCAAAGAGCATTTTCTTAAAATGTCATGGTACACGAGCCAACGGCAGACTCATTAAAGTAAGTAATATGAATGAGTTTGTATTTTAATAACAGGGACCAGGAATTTTTGTTTCTGCTTAAATATTGTCGAATAAACATTTTTAGATGATAAAATGTGAAATCTAGACCAACAAGAGAAGTAGCAAGAGATGCTCCTCCTTTAATGTTTATGGGATGGTTTGCCAGGCCACTCGCAGCAGGTCAATGTAAAAATTGTTGACATTTTAAATTAAGGATTTTAAATAACTTAATTTTTTCACACAAACAAACAAAAAAAAAAAAACTATTACGAGTGAAATTGGACCCTTTAAATGCACCTCCCACAACAAGGACGCTTTATTCGGCAGAACACCCATTTCCTAAAGCGGTGATTCGGCTTTACTAGTAAACTTGATGTACGTGATTCAAAGTCGATTTCACACTTATTTGGTTCGCACTAATCGTTTCTAATGCATTGTATGATCGTAATTTGAACGCAACAGCGCCACTGAATTAGATTTTACAGATTTTTGACTCGCATTTTGTACATATTTCGACTCAGGACTATATTTTCCGGCGGAGGGAAAGACATAAACAAAACACTATTTCAGGGCTCCATAACAAATGTTTTCACGGTTATTTACTGGCAGATAAACAACAAATTAGAGGATAATTTTTAATCATCCCTCTACTGATTTATGTCGCAGTTTTTATAGAACGTTTCGGTGCTCCACACGGGGACGCGCATCGGTTGGATTCCTTGGCGGCGCGCCTGGGACTTTCCCAATCCGACCAGGTTCCCTGCTCAGAAGTACGCCTTTTTGTTTACTTGCGTTGTTTCCAAACGCAAGTAAACCATTGAGAGTTTGAACAAATATCGTCTTCTTCGCGGTGCATTAGTAAAAACTGCAGTATTCACAATGTTTAAAAGAATAAGGCCAGAATAAGTTGGGCCTTCGCTTCGTAATTAAACCAGAGAAGAAATTCCCAAACGGGGGGGAGGGGAGATGCATCAAATTACCCCCGAGACCCAGAACGATGTTCTCAGGCGACACCGAGCTGTTGCAGCTTATAAATAACCGTCTTCCCCGGTGAAACTTACGTATCTCCGTCTTCTGTGATCTGTGTCCGCCACTCTGGAAGCGGTTCTCCGGGGGCTGAAGCTCGGTGCTGCTCACATTCCAGCTGGAGCCGATGGATCTCCTCCGCCACCGCCTGGTAATCCTCATCTTTCATGGAGTCCAGGCCACTGTCGAGTCGATCCTCGGTGGCCTGACTCCCCTTGCCTTCCTTAGACTCCGGGTCCATTTGGTTTAATAAACTCGTGCGATGAAGCGCCATGCTGCGGCTGGTTCGCGTCCGTTGTGGCGTTGTGGAGCAGTCTGTGAATGCCCTCTGTGTGGCTGCTGCAGTGGGCGGGGCCTAATGTCTGTGGGGGGATTTCCAGAACACGGTCACCTAGAATAACACAGCAAACAGATTGCTGGCTCCCAGAGGGGATTTCTCTCCGTACTCTATAAAAACTCTCAGTAGACGTGTGCAGAATTAATTCTCTGCACAAAAATACTTTAAAGTTGGTTACTTACATGCAACATGTAGAAAAAGGCTGAAAAAGCCTTTTTCACTCACCTGTTTGTCAATATTTACAAATAATTTAATGCAAAAATGTTCATTCTCACAAAAGTACACTAGCTGTACAAAATGATTGGTTTATGACTACTGGGAAATTCATATGTTCTGCAGCTTTGCATCACAATGGGTGGACAGACCTGCAGGACCAGAGGGGCTGCACAGGAGTTTCCTCCAAATGTTAAAGTGTGATTTCCGTTTGTTTATCATGCAATGTGATAAAAGGCACGAGCAAGGCAGCAGCAGACACGCGCATGTCCGCGGCGCCGCGGAGTTTCCGCAGGTCAAGTGTGTGTGGTTGTGCTAAAGTTAACACCCTCATGCTTGAAACACTATATCATGTGTTTGCATCAGTGTCAGAGGTTAACAAACTGTTTTTGCACATGGGGAACAAGACTTTGGCAATAAATAAAGATTAAACTCCAACAATCTATTAATCTAAAACAATTTCTATTATTAAAGGAAAGGAAATGCTCGAGGTTCCTGGTTAAGGGTTGTGTTTGATTCCATATAAACAAATATCAGTTTGAACATGATGTCCTAGCGGCCTTCTGGGGAAACTCCAGACTTACTATTGTTCTGTCTGAGACCAGTTAAACCAGGAAGGCGTCTCTCAACACATTTGGACTTATTTTACATAACAGCTGTTTGGCTGCAAATAAAGAAACATTACAGTCCTCGCATCAGGCCTAACCTGCACTTAGGGTCTGAAACAAAAATGCAAAAGTAGGAAAACACCATTTAAAGTGTGGTCACTCCCACAACCCTTTGCAAATTCAAATGATTGATTTCAGTTGACTCCAGGCCAGAAAAGGAATGCACATATTAGCATTTCCAAACATTCAAGAGTTCAAATGTGAGGAAAGTTCACATGCAGGAGTAGGGCTGCGACTAATGATTATTGTCATAATCGATTAATCTGTCAATTTTTTTTATTAATCGATTAATCGGTTTGTTATTGTTTAGCTATTTAACCTACACAAGTGATGAATACATTTCAGTTAAGAAAAAGAAAAACATAAGAGAATTGTGCAGTTGACTGGAATCTATTTAATTGCACATGAACACAGTCAGCGGTGTAAAATGAGCTAAACAGTGCAAAATATCAGTCCAGAATAATTTTTTGGCATCAAAATATAAGAGGTAAATTCCATAAAAAATAATGTAGCACATGTTAACAAAAATATCTCTGCCCTTTTAACAAATTGTCCATTGGGGGGTGAGTGTCTTGTTCCCCCATGTAGTTGTCCATGTTGCTTGTTTTTCTCTGCATAAGAAACACAAATAGACTGAAATAAGTACACATATAAAATAAAGCAGCACACACACTACAACACTAAATCAATATTATATCATACTCCTGCAGCAGGAGTGTCACAAAGTTTCAACGAGTCATTAATGTTTGAATCCTGATTCTTTTAAATCCTCATTAAAGCTAGAATCAGCTCTGTTGCCCAACTGTTTGCACAAAAAAGGAATTGGAATTTCACGTACCAGTCGCAGCGTGAGCTTCATCGTGTGCAGCTCATAAGAAACCAGTTTGACTGAAAACCAGGAGCTGGCTGGAAGTTCTAGAAGCAGCCAGAGGAACAAGGAACCAGGAACAAACGCAGAAATGATTTCCCTGAACTTCTCTTGGTGTGATTTTCTTGGACTTTCTACTCGAAACGTGATTAGTCAGAGCTGCTGAGCTTTAGAAAAAGGAACAGCAAAAGCTTTGTTTTATTACTGTTCAACTGCAACATGAAGAAAAACAAACACAAAGCGTGTCATTACTGGTCATTTTAGACTCTTTCAGCTTCATAAAAATCTGATTTATTTAAATAACAAATCATGTTCTATAGCCTAAATCAGGATTTCAGGTGGGACCAAAAGACAAATGTTTACTCCCCAGATGGAGAAATAATTATAAAATCAGGATATAGGTGTGCTTTTTAACTTGCAGGTTAACGGTAAGCATCAATATTTTACATTATTGTTACCTTAAAGTTATTATCTTCATATTTTGGGTCCCTTTTGGCCCATAATACATTATGGGCCTCAGCTTGTTTTGGACATTAAAGGGTTAATCTCCCTCTCTTCCAGACATTTCTGGATAATTGTTCACGATCCGAATGAGTGCCGTCTGTGTCAATGGGAATCCCTGGGAATTCTGGGCATTACATTTACATCCACCCCATGACTCATAATGAATCACTCGCCTCATACACCGGACCATAAAGGTTCAAGGTTAGTGGTGAGTCATCAAATCACGCCGTCAGAGGAAAAATATGACAAATAAAATAAAGAGATCCAAGTGCGACCATTCTTCTAGACCTGTTCCTGTTTTCTCTACTTCCTGTCACCACACTTCTTGTTTTAGATTTCCTGTGCTGAGCAGGAACGTCTGTAGTTTTTTCATTGTTTCCACAAGCAAAACTTAAATATTTGATATTTCTGACACTTTGTCTTCATCTGACAGAAGAAATAAGTAAAATTTCAGCCGTCTAGCCAATGATTTTAAACTTTTCCACAGACTTTCTCAACCACATTCCCCCTGGGAACACAATAGAAGAGAAAAATACCTGCAGATTTATGTAAGACGATCAAAAGCCCCTGAACTTTAGCTGCAGTGACAAGATGGTAATCAGGGGAATTTGAGCTTCTTACGGTTGGTTTAAGACACAAACCTTAAGGAAAGTTAAACTCTTATTAAAAAAACAAATTTAAAGTTTTTTTTTCAGGCAAAACCTGTAAAACTTTTCAGAATTCTTGACAAACTTGTGTAAAACTCTACAATTCAACACCAGTAATTTTATTTACACACTCTAAATCTTGCTGAGTCACCTTAACAATCAGCAGGAATAACAAAAAACTTCCTTATTACAAATCTGGTTATCCTGAAGTCCATCTCTCTCATCGCTGAGAATGTTTCTGAACAGATTGTTTAAAAAAAAGAGAGAATCTGCTGATCAGCTGCATGGAATTGGGTTTAGGTCGGAAGAAACCAGATCTGGCCTCACCTGGTCTGATGAGTCACACCTGTAGGAGTGTGAGAGCAGGCAAATAATCCGTCAGCAGGTGGCGCAAGAGGACAGCTCATGATTTATAATAAAATGTTCACACTTCACCACTAGAGGGCGACAAATAAATTAGTTTCCGACTTAAAACACCAAATAAATAAACCACTAAATATATTTGTGATTAAATAATTCATTTAGTTTGAATAAATTATTAGGATTTGTTGCTAAAATATTTAAAAGTTACTTTTCAGTTAAAAGTGTGGTGGTTTGTAAGAAAAAAACAGCAAGTCAACTTTAAACAATCGCGTTTAAAAACACCTAATTTTCACTTTCTTCATAAATGTCTGGGCCTTGATCTGTGTTCCTGTGCATAATCATTTATTTCTAACTATTGTTTTAATTTTTAAACAAACACAAGAACCAAACAAAGATTATTTCACAGCCGGTTCCTTACACATTTATGAATTAACGTTGTGTTTGGTTGCTTATTTCTGTTCTAATAGTAAAACTTACATAACTGGACAACCTGAAAGCTCACCTTTATTAAGAGGTTATGAATGGAAAGAGCAACACAGCTAAAAGTGTGGATAAAACCCTAAATTAGTCTCCCATTGGTATTCACAATTTCTGTTACTTTTTGTCCCTGAAACTGATAGTTTAAACCAATTTTTAGGTATTTTATTGAAAATTTAGTTACAAAAAAAAAATCCTGAATTAAAGCCCTGATAATCTAAACTACTAAATTTCTTGTTTTTACTAAATAATCATTAATATGGTAATTTTCCTTTACTAAACACTGCTAATTAACAATAAAACATCTTTTCACACAAACCATGTGAAAGTTTCTCTGCTGAGACGTAAAGTTCATATAAATCCAGAACAAGTGACGCATCATACGAAGGCTGATACCTAAAGACCTGTGACTGCAGCGCAGATCAATAGTCATTTTCAGCTGTCTGGAGGATTATCTACCTCACTGCCTGCTGATGTGATGCAAACCGAAGAGACTCTTTATGTCCTCCAGCCTGCAGCCGCCACATCGACTCCATCACTACTCTCACAGGAGATTGACAGAGAATTTAGGTGACTGAAAGACATCTGAACTCCCTTGTTTTTTTTATTTCAGGAGCCCAAACTCCTCATCTGATTTCTTTTGATGTGCATCAGTGTTGCACTAATTTTCTCAATCTTCTAGCAGTAAACAAACGTGTCATAAAATGATGTAGAAACCAGAAGCTGCAGGAATTCTGGTGGGAGAATGAACCAGAAGTAGCCAAGAGTCCTTTGGAGTGCAGGAGGCATCCATAAGGACCTTCACTGACTCTGTGGTGGCATCTGCCATCTTTGATGGTGTGGTTTGTTGAGACTGTAGCTCATCTATGGCTGAGAAGAAGAGATTAGATAAGATAATTAAAAAGGCCAGCTCTGTCCAAGGATGTCCTCTTGATCCAGTGCAGGAGGTGGGAGACAGAAGGACTCTAGCAAAAATAACACTAACTTCTTCCGTCCCCTGCATGAAGCTGTACAGCGACAGACTGCTGTATCCTATAGGTGCACAAAGGAACGTTATATTAGGTCTTTCCTGATCTTCAAAGACCACCATCCAAGCATGTTTTAGTTTTACTCCAACACACCTGATTCGATGGTTTAATCACCTGTTTAGCTTGTTAATCTCCTGTAGATTAAAATCAGGTGTGCTGATGCAGAGAAACAACTTAACATGCTGGATAGCGGACCTTCACAGGACCTTCCTCCTAGCAGCTAGACTCTATAAAGACCAAGTTGCCCCTCGGACGCGATACAAACTGCAGCCTACTACTCCTTAGCAAAGTAAAGATGGGTCAAATGCAGAGAAAATTTTCTTCAAGGGGATCAAAAAATATATTTAAAAAAAAACACGGCTCCCAACAACCTCAGGTTAAGTTTTTGCATCCTGGTGTCTGCACTCTGCAGGTTCTCTAGCTTTCATTCATGTTCTCACTCCCTGTAGATATTCTGCTGTACTACACAGCTGTTTTCAAAATCTGGTATTTTGATTAAAAAATAACAATATATATATATATATATATATATATATATATATATATATATATATATATATTCACTGTACATCTCTTGAATCTACTTTGCAGCGCTTACCCTCGTTCCCTCCCTAAATGTTTCAAAAAGAGGGCTTTGTTCGGGTTCACACCTTCACTTTGTTTATACTCATGATTTTTTTTCTACGTTTATCACTGCTATTGTTTTTCCTGATGTTTTTATTGGTTAGAGGTATTTGCCCTGATCTTTATCATGTTGTACAGCGCTTTGTGATTTATATCTGTGAAAGGCGCTCTATAAATAAACTTTTACTTACTTAGTTACCCTTAAATTTTACCGCAGAGGAAAATTCCTGGCAATAGGGGGCAGTATATACATAAATTATTGTAAGCACGAGGTATTTTTGAGTTTGAGTAAGACCTTCTTGTCTACAAATGGCCATTGGGTCAAAAATCCCTGGGAGCGTTGCCTCCAGCAAAAATAACGAACACGTCAGACTCCCTTTCATCACTGGCAACAAGCGAAGAGGCAAATGTAAAACAACAAGACAACAATTAGTTCGTTTTGTAACCGCTTGCTACAAATTAGTAAATGCATTTTGTCCTCACAGGCTCCCGTAGAAGGAAACATGGCATCTAATAAGCCGTCCTCCAGAGACTTAGACCCGCTCCCGTGCATTTTAGACCTGATTTTTATGGTTATATGTTACAAAGCCAACAACTGGGCATCATTTGGTTCATTTTCAATATTTCAATTGATATTTCCAGATATTACTGACACATTGTCTCTTTAATTTAAAAAATCGGAGTTTTAAGACTTAATCTGTAATTCCTTGTTATTTTGTGGCTTTTTTCTCTCTCTTCTCATCCTCCTGCAATAAAAAGGCCCTGTTTTTTATGTTAAACACAAATCTGACCTGATGGGTCAAAGTTTCCTCACAAAGGTATCAGCAGCAAACAGAAAAACCAAAAAAACTAAAGAGTCTGAGAGCTTCATTAGTTTTTATTGTTGGACAGCACCACCCACCCCATCTCTGTCTCAGAGCTTCTGGTCCAAACAGAGGAGCCTCGCAGCCTGGAGAGGGGGGGTGTAGGATGAATCTCTCTGATCTCTTATCAGCTGCAGCAGATTCTCTGGGAGGAGGGGCGTGTGTGTGTGTGTGTGTGTGAGAAACATCCACACCAGATCTCCATCTCTCAGACCTCCTGTTCTGCTGTTGAGATAACCTGACACGTAGAGGAAACCGTCCTCTGATCACACTTTAGCAGAACAGAAACGATCAACAGCATCAGAACCGAATCTCGACCAATCAGCAACAAGCTGGACCTGGCTCATGGTCTGATGAGGCTGAAAAGACCACAGACAGCAGGAAAATGAGAAGATCGTTCTGAAGAATAAACCTGCTGCAGGAAAAATGTTTCATGTCTTTCAATTAGGCACTGATTAGAACAATTTTATGTTTTAATCTAAAAAAAGAACTGAATGAGGTAACATTTGACTCATTTTACCTGGAGGTGACGTCACATCTCAAGAGGGTTAATCATACCTTCTTTCCCCAGACTGTTTGCGACACTTATCGAGCCATCAATGTTTAATTCAAAGATGCATTTTTGCTTGAGACGCTGCAGATTTGAGCTTATTTCCGTCATCCCTCTCCGATTTGTAGCCAGACTTGAATCTTTTCTTGATCAATAGTTCTTCAGATACTTTCAAAGCTTTTTCTGCACCTTTTTGAAGCTCATTAGTCACTGCGGCATGGTTTAGATACAGGAACTGGACTGAAAATGAGCAGAAAAACAGCCCAAGTCCAAAGAAAAGCTTCAGAAAGACACAAATCGGCTGGTCATTAATAATGAGTTTGGATAGAAACAAAAGGGTTTGCTGCATTTGATCGTTACAATTTTCTACACATTCATGAAAAAACGAGATAGAAACAACCCTAACCAAATGTAATCATCACTTTTTTGAATACTGAATAAAGTTTCACAGAGAAACTAAAACAAACCATCTCTCTGGTCTCTCCATCTCGTGCGCTCTCATCCAACCTGCGCGCGCCTCTCCATCCCTCCCTCTCCTACACTTCCAATCTGCACTTCAAAGTCGGTTTCAGACACGAGCTGATCTTTCTGTCAACTGGTGCCACGCGCTCCACATCTCCACCGTCATCACCACCACCACCACAGCGATGCCTCGAGGATTCTTGGTGAAGCGGAACCGGCGGGGCTCATTGTCATACCGGCCACGGAGCGACATCCAACTGAACGAGGCGCAGGTGGAGACCCCCACGCAGGGGGTCTTCCCGTTCCACCGACCGGATAGAGAACTCCCAGAGTCCCGCGAGGACCCGATCAGGGAGGCGTGGAGCCCGCACGTGGAGTCCGCGCTGGAGGCGGAGGCTGACCGGAGCGCGCAGCTACCGGACACCGATGTGGACGTTCTGAGTGTAGATGATGATTTCTCCTGCTTCTACCCGCCTCCCCCTCCACACGACCTGGCTTTAAACGACACCTGCAGCCCCGTTAAACCGGTGGGCACGAGGCTGCTGGAGCACGCAGAGAAGCAACCGGCGTTACCGGAACTTCCGTATCTGGTGAGCTCCACACCGAACTCCATGTCCGCTTCCATCCAGGCGCTCTTCAGCAGCGGCCGCCTCCACGCGCAGACTTACGACCATAAGTTTGACCCGAACCTGGCCCACCTGTTCCCATCTCTGACGCTGATGGACCGGGGGCAGGCGGACAGAAAACGCTCCTTCCTCGATCCGGATCATCCAAACAAACACAGCACCAAGCAGGCGGCGGGAAAGAAACCCAAACTCAACCGGAGGATGAACTTCGAGGATGAGGTCACCACGTCTCCGGTTCTGGGTCTGAGGATCAAGAAAGAGAGTCCGGATCTGAGGAGGTCTCGGGACAAACCGTCCGCCCCCACCGGGACTCAGCCTCTCGGGGAGTTCATCTGCCAGCTCTGTAAGGAGGAGTACCCGGACCCGTTCTCCCTGGCTCAGCACAAGTGCTCCCGCATCGTGCGCGTGGAGTACCGCTGCCCGGAGTGCGACAAAGTCTTCAGCTGTCCCGCAAACCTGGCCTCCCACCGGCGATGGCACAAACCGCGTCCGGTGAACAACCAGACCGGGGACACGAGCCGGGGTCAGCCGTTAAAAGAGGCCCGGGTGATGCTCCAGCAGGAGAAGCAACCGGTGAAGATTGACGGTAAAGAAAACGAGATGCAGCACCACGGAGCACCGGACAGCTCCTCCCGCGTGCTGCTGCTCCGCACCGACTCCTCCGCCCCTTACCGGAATCCGGACATGCAGCAGCACGTGAGAGCGGCGGACAGCCCCCCGTCCGGGCTTCTGTTGCTCAACCCCGAAGAGCGCGCGGACCTCCCGCTTCTCCAGACCCCGTTACCGGAGGAGGAGGTGTACGACTGCCGCTACTGCGGGAAGAAATTCCGCCGACAGGCTTACCTGAAGAAACACCTGGCCGCGCACGAGATGACAGCGCGCGCATCCCCGCCCTCCTCACCTTACCCCCAGAGCCAGGTGTTCCTGTGCCACCTGTGCGGCGCGCGCTTCCCGTCGGTGGACATCAGAGACAAACACCGCCTGTGGCACGCGATGCGGGACGAGCTGCTGGCGGAAACGCTGGAAGGTGCACGCAGAGCGGAGGCGTTTCACGCGCACAGAGAAGAGGGCAGCGGCGGCGAGCAGCATCAGCAGATCTTCACCTGCAAGTACTGCCCGTCCACCTTCTTCAGCTCACCTGGGCTCACGAGACACATCAACAAGTCTCATCCCACCGAGAACCGGCAAGTGATGCTGCTGCAGATGACGGTCCGGCCGTGAAAGTCCAGAAAACCGAACCGGAAGCAAAAACTCTGCTGAAGCGTTGGCTTACGTCTCAGTGCCTTTTATGAGCTCGTTAAACTTTTATCATCAAATAAAAGAAAAACGAAAACTTATTAAATCCATGAAGGCGGGCTGACGTGTCGCTGTCCCTGGTCCTGAAACCGCTCCGCTGGACGCACGCTGTCCCTGGTCCTGAAACCGCTCCGCTGGACGCACGCTGTCCCTGGTCCTGAAACCGCTCCGCTGGACGCAGCTACTCCTGCGTAAACCCCCAACACCTGCTTCGATGCTTAGATATTCAACTTGTTTGGTACATTTGACTAAATAAACCAAGAACATTCTCTTTAATCAGATTCTACCCAGTATCAAACCTATAATTTATACACGCTTAAGTTTTTCTGATAAACGAATCTAAAAAAAAAAATCACCGACTTTGACTTTTATAATTAATGTTTTCTGTTAATCATATTTTCATACAGAACTTGAATATTTCATGTTGATCCTGTTGGTTAAAACGTCTCGTCTTTACTGATTCTACATCATCTGTAAGATATTTGCTGAACAACTAAACGTTTAGTAGTTCAAGAAGCTTGTACAGTAATATTTTAATATGTGAAGCAAAATGTGTAATTTATTCAAAATTATTGCCAATAAATATCTGATTAATGAACATGAAATGTGAATATTTCATGTTTAAAAAAGATCAGCAGCCTTTTTACGAATCCTTTATTCTCAACGTTCATTGCTGACAATGTGTGTCAGAAACAGATGTGAAACATGTGTACACTCTCCAAGTGTGTGTGTGTGTGTGTGTGTGTTGATACATGCAGTTAGTACTGAAGTGTTGTCATGCAGGTTGTAACTCAGTAGTTAGCATACA